TTTTTTAAAAGATACTTTAAATGTGAAATTAAAACTGCCAGTGTTAATAAGTGAGTCATTGCGATTGAACCAAATCATTTAAAAGTTGATTCATTCAGGAACAAAACAGTGTCATGTTGCTCAGAGACACAAATTGGAATTATATTTGTTGGCGAAATAGAGCAAAAACAGTCAATATTGTGTCTAAAACGTAAGTGTCTTAATATTAAATTCTTGTTTATTGAACTGCTGTATAAAATCAAGGAGTCGAATAACGAATCTGCCCGGTCACTGTGTTCAGCACGAATAAAAGGAAAATGGACAATCCTGCTTGTCATTTTACACACCGCCTCAACTGGAGTCCTTTGTTATCCTGCATCCTGCAAATGTTGTAATCCAGACAAAATACAGTCATACACGTCCAGTTTTCAAATAAAAGCATTTGAACAATTATCTTCTGTATTGTTAAGAAGATTCAAAACCGAGCCCTTCTAATGTACAAACAACAGCTCGACGTCTTTTCTCTATGCCGGTTGACCCAATGCCTTCTGTATGCAGTTCTTTTGCTCATATCGTCTCCCTGGGCAACAGCACCTCTCACAGTCAATAAGCAGCACAACAGCAGTGCTGGACTGTCCAGCACAAGGGAAGAAAGACAGTGAGCTACACTCTCAGAAATAAAGGTACAAAAGCTGTCACTGGGGTGGCACCTGCTCAAAAAGTACACCTTTGTACCTAAATGGTGCATACCTTATGCCCCAGTGACAGCTTTTGTACCTTTATTTCTGGTTCTGTCGGTTGTCATTGCTGAACAGAAACTCAATAGAGAGCACTTAGTGCTTAAAAAAATGTATCATTGTGATGAGCTCAGTGCAGGAATGGAGACATGAAATCAAATTACAATGCAGAATTTGAGAAAGCGAATCCAACCAGAGTTTACCAATTACAGTTTATCTTCAACCAATAACACCATTGATTCTATAGTAGGTGTTTAACAAGAATGTAACAAGATTTTAGGTGCATGTAGTTCATGTAGTACATTAAACTAAAACGTCTTATTTCATCAAAAATAATGGAGTTTGTAAGATCAAGCCAGTCAGATGTGATTCTACTGTCTAAGCTAGCAGATGACCTACATATTAAAGGATAAAAATTAGTGGAGTGTGAAGTGAAGTGCGAAGACATCCCCTGCAACAACATTGTGCAGGCATATCTGATTGTCAAAGCCTCACAGAAATCAAAAAACAAACTATTTCATTAACACTATACAATACGTTTGAATCTGTCAACATTAGTTCATGCATAGGCATCATGAACTAGCATTTATTATTATTGGTGTACACACACACACACACACACACACACACACAAACCTAAGTTTTAAAAAAATCTGTAAAAATTGTTTATTGTTAGTTCATGGTATCAAATGCATTAACTAATGTAACCTTATTAAAGTGTTACCAGAAGTAGGGTGTGTGTTATTGTGCCAGTATGTGGTTTTGGATATTGCAGTTGATTTGAACATGTAGACACCACTGCTGTGCAGATGCATAAAACATGAGCAGCACTAAAGCTGCCACATAGTCATACATATTCTGTGTGATGAGACTGCATTATTCAGACTGTGTGTGTCCCATAAGGCCTGATGCATTTGAATGCTGTAAAAATAGGCCAAATTCCAGCCTTAAAGCATAGTGACACACTGCTGCAGCAGGAGAGGAGAGCCAGAGACACAGAGATAGGGCACCCCCCCCCCCCAACCCACACACTCACGCAGAGAGACCTATATAGGGCACCCCCCCCACACACACACTCATGCAGTAAGATGATGCAGTGTCTCTGACACAGTTTCAGTGAACCACCACAAGATGGAGCACAGCACATACTGTTTGATAACATTCAGTTACAGAACTGAACATGACTAAACAGTTAATCAGTAAAATCAAATAGCAGAGGTGGAGACACATGAAAATTTAAATGATAGACAGAGAGAGAGAGAGAGAGAGAGAAAGTGTGCATGGAAGTCAAAAGAGCTTTCTGTGAATTGACAACTGTATTTTACATAACAGCAGTATATAAAATGTTCTTACCTTAAAGGGGATTGATTAGTTTCCATTCATTAGGATGGACAGCCAGGCCATGGAGGGAAGAAAAGAGAAAAGAAAATATTAAAAAAAAAAAAGTAAATTTCCTGAAGAAAATGTGCTTTGTTTGAAGCACTTACACTGTACGCAATACACACCATTAATAAAAAAAAAATAAATAAAAAAAAATAAATCAAAGCCACACCAGATGGCAAAGATAAATGAGAGAGAGAGAGAAAAATCAAAGACCAAAGTGCACATAAAACGGGTATAAAACACAGCTTAAACACACTGACAACTCTATGACATACCAACAGTAAGAATGGTCTCATCATGATCTCCAGTTTGATCAGAACTATGTGGGTCATGAGAGGAGACACATTTCTCCCTCTGTCCTTAAAATCCCTACAATAGCTTTTCATGAAGCCATCTCTGCCTTGTGTGCAAATCCACTAACATGACAATCGGATTCGATTACAAAGCAAAACTGGACTTCACCATGGTCTGTGCATGTTTTAATATTTTGCTGTTCATTTTCTCTCTCCCTCATACACACAGAACCCTTCTCACGTGTGTAGCAGTGTACAGCAGAAGTGGGCCTGCCTAAAGCAACAACTGAAGCACACATGGGTGAACATTATAAATAGCACACAGTAGCTGCCTGGGAAATGTACAGCATTCTGTGGATACAGATCTGAATTACAGACTCATTACTGTAGCATATAACTACATGCATATATTCCATATAATTATTTTTCAGGGTTATTAATTCATAATTCATCACTTGCACTCTTAACTACTGTTAAGCCAAAACCTGTCATTCAATTAATAAACACCTTTGCTGGGGTTTTTAAGCAGTATGTTAACCATCATTAGATCTGATA